CATGTCAGCAGCGGGTTTGTCCGAGGATTTTGCACGGGCACTCTTGGCAGGACCCCTATTACGTGGATGCGCGCATCCACTGCCCGTGGACACAATGAACAACTTCAAAACGTATGAGGTGTGTGGACTGCATGTTCAAAATTCCTTGTCTTACACGTGGCGCTCGGACTGCCACAGCTTGAGTGCCTTATCGTACGACCCCGTGACCAGGACGTCAACGCCGTCGACCTGGGCATACCACAAATCTCGCAGCAACTTTTCGTGCGCCTTGACGCGCTGCACGACCTTCTCGGACGCGACGCTCCACATGACAAGGCCGCCTTCGCCCTCCGTGTTGGACACCACGAATTGCTCCGACGCGTGCCACGCCACACGTGGCTGGCTGTACGGCCCGGCCTTGTGGCCATAAAAGTTGCGTAAAACGACGTTCGATCGCACCTACCATGTCACTATCAAATGTCTCTTGCTGCGCTCTGCTACTCCATACCTTGACGACAAAATGACGGTTGGCATCGGTCGCGACGAGCAGATACGCCCCGCTCGGCGAGCTTTGCAAGTCCATGATCGTGTACGATACGTGCTCGATGTCATCCGTGTTCATGTTGAGCCTATGCATACCCCATGAGGTTTCCATCAGTCTGCAACATCGTCCTCTGTACCTCGTCTTCTCCAGCGTCACCATGTCGATGTAGTGCACGTAGCAGTCGTCGCGAATGCCCGCGACGACGAGTTCGTTCGAGCCATCGCGTGGCGGCACCACAGTCAAGGCCTCGACCGTTCCGTTGAAGTAATAGCTCTTGGCAATGCTAAATTGCACCATGTTGCCGGAAGACTCAGGCACTTGATGATACACATGGGCGACTTTGTCGCTTGCCCCGGTCACGAACCCCAAGGCGTCGCCGGACGAGAGCCATGCGTGGCGGATGTTGCCTTGCCTCGTGTGGTCGTGGAACACTTGGACAATATGCAGGTGGTCGTGGTCCAACCGAAGCACGTGGTGCCGCCCGTCCATGCCACTCGCCATGAGGTAGTTCGCATGCGTCTTGGACGGATGGAACGAAAGAGCGAGGACGGGGGCACCGGCGTCGTAAGAATCTACGACTGTCTTGGTCTGCCAATTGTGCACTTTTACGTACTTGTCGGCACCACCGGATGCCACGAGCGACGAGTCGTGAAAGTGGCCACTGACCGACAAAATGTTCATCACATGCGCTTGGTCCACCACGGACGCTTCGCGCACTGGAAGGACTGCCTCGTTTCCTGGGGTCAACAAGGCTTCGTCCACCGCATCTACCTTGAGGGAAAGACCGGCTACCGCCACGTCGACGGCGGCTGAGTCCACGGCAGTGGCAAGTGCTGCGGCGAGCTGGGCCTTCAACGCATTGTTTTCTTCGCGGAGGAGTTCGTTCGCTTCTGCCAGGAGATCGTTCTCCTCGTTGAGCCTGTAGATTTGCCGTGCAGCATCGTCCAGCTTAGCGTCTGTTTCTTCACGCAGCGCCGCCAATTCGGCCAGCGCCGCCTCCGTTTCCACAGAAGTCATCGTTCCGTTGTGGCAACCTC